GTAAGTTTTTTCATCTTTTCACGGTGTATAATTTACTTTTTCATCATTACTATAACTATGGTTGGTAGTTTTCATTGTCAATGCGCCATATTTTGATGCAAATTCAGTTTTGAAATTCAATGTAGGCTGAAAAACGCGTCACGCAGCAACAGTGACCCGTTTCCAAAACAAAATCAGAAAGTACTCGGCTTACAAATATATACGAAAGTCCTACGGCTTCCTTGAGCCAAGACAGCACCGGAAAGAATGGATTTTAAATTTCCATTTAATATAGAAAAGTTAGATGAAAAGCAAGTGGAAGAGCTCGCTAAAAATGCCGCTCAATATGCTTTAGCGAATGGTATCCTTCTGTCCTCGCCAGCTGGGCTAACAGTTCATGTTCCATTTATGCTCTTTCCATCTCCATTTCCGAGAAAACTCTTTCATCAGGCTAAAGAAGTACAAGAAGATTTCAATCTTCTACTTCATAAAGTCAGCCAGGAACACGACTTCTTGAAAGAATCTCTACAAGGGTGAGTACTATACAAAACTTAAACCGTTGACTTTAGCCTTAATAACTACAAAGTGCAAGGGCATTTTGCGATTTATTTTAAATTCGCTCGTCCAACTGAAATACTCGGATATTTCTGAATTTAGTTTATGCAGTAGCTCAAACATTTGGGCTTTTAATTTTTAATTGAAGTATTATTCTTGAGTCGCATTCGCCATAACGTTTCCTTTAACAGACTAGGCCTATTTATTGATCTATTCAAATGTAGTTGTACCGTGACGAGAGTGAACTGAAACCGAAAGTGTTCCTAGTTTAGTCGAAAGCTCTACAACGACTACATATTTAAATGAAAAAGGGCTATACATATCTATTGAATAAAAAATGTTGTCCCTAAACCTGTAAATCAAGCAAATCAAGCCAAATAACTTAAGGCAGGCAGAGTCTCTCAAAGAATTTCATATTATGCACAGTAAAGCACTGCATTCATGGAAAGCAGGTTTTTTATTTTATTAGGTTAGATTAAACTTAAAGTAGGTTAGTTGATTATTTTAAACATTTTGTAAATCCTGATGATCATACCGTGGTAAAATAAAGTTTTATCTATCTATCTTATCTATCTATTTATCTATCTATCTATATTAAGGGCATTTACAAAGCCTGTGCACATTGGACGAGAATAAGTTAACATTAGAGAATGACTAAGCCAATATTAGATATACAGTCGATCCCAAAAACGTTGTCCAAGTGAAAAGAGGTTTATAGGACAATAATTGTCACGTGTGCCATTAAATATTCAGTTTTACGTGCGTGGATTTTTTTCAGAATTAGCATACTGATGCAAAAGTAAATTACAGTATTGAAAACTGAATCTGAAAGATGCCGCGGGCTTTCTCGGATGATTTAAGGTGGAGAATGGTATACCAACATTTGTTTTATGCAAAAACATACCAGGAGATAGCCGCTAATCT